GAGATGGTCCGACAGTCCTCACCCCAACTGGGCGGTGCCCAGCAACTCCAGATGAGCTGTAACCGGGTGACCGGCGGCTACCCTTCCCCTCTTTTACCTTACATATCTTATATATAAAGCTGAATGTCTGTCTGTCTGTCTGTACGTATGTGCGGAATAGAAATTTTTATTTCTGAACCGATCGGGACCAAACTTGGCACACATATACTTCGGGGCAGGGAGCGTGTCACAGGCTACTTTTCGTTATCGATCGATATCGATTTTATCGATTTTTTGCAAAATTTGAGCTAGGGAGCTGGGATTTTGCACAGGGGGGTAATCGAACATGCTGATCACCCCCGGGGGGGGGGGTGATCAGCATGTTCGATTACCCCCCTGTGCAAAATCCCAGCCCCGTAGCTCAAAATTTGCAAAAAATCGGTGAAATCGACATCGATCGATAACGAAAAGTGGACTATGACACGCTCCCTGCCCCGAAGTGTATGTGTGCAAAGTTTGGCCCCGGGCGGAGCCGGGTTTGCCATCTAGTGTATAATAAAGATTCTAGTCATAAATGATATGTTCATACAAAGTAAGACAATCAGGGTGAAGGATTCAAGTCAGGAGAGTGCACCTCCTGAACTTGACAGATCCATTAATCTGTTAGGGCATTAGCTGTGTTTCAATCAAGGAAAATTTGGCACCAAAACAGCTAAATCTCAAATTTCACATGATTGTGTGCCGTTAAAATGAAACAAGGAAAATCAAAAAACTAATAAAAGTAATCACTGGCAAAATCTTTCGTTTTTTTTGGAGAGTTAAAAAAACTTCGTTGTTTTGGTTGTTGGGACTGAATATCATATTTTGGTTGCGAGAAAAAATGAATATGGAACGACGGCATATAATGTAGTACACGGTTTTCCCTGTATATAGCAACATTCACGCAGAAGGGTTACGGTGGTTAGGCCCTTGATCTCACGCCTCCAAACGTTAGAATAGGTCACTTTCACACTTAATTTGTAATAAATATGTACATGTATATATGTTCAAAAACAAGTTCATTTGCTTGTTGCTAGCTATTGGTTGCTTATCAATGAAATGCTATCAAATCGGTGATTCTGGGCCAGTGACTTAGTAGTTACCAGCACATTACTCAAAATGCCCTGAAGAATGTCGTCATTTTCTTGCTCTTTTACTCACTCTAAATTGGTAAGCACAAGCGCGCCAACGCTTTAGCAAGCTAAGTGAGCTGTTCCAGCAGCTAGGATTCGGTATATCGTTAGGCACCCGCTGTTAAAGCAACTAAGGGGCGTGACTTAGTGTGTACCACTGATGGCTGGGTATAGGGGCCTGCAGGATCGCGAGAGTCGGACGCGCGTACGGCCTTTGCGCCGCGCACGCCTGATATCGCTGGGTCGTAGTCGATTAAGGCTAGATAGGTAAGTTTTTTTTGTTTTTCTTTACATTTCACTCCTTCTTTTTTTTCAGACGGTGAGCACATGTTGGCGCGGAGGAGTTTAAGATCTGAATTAAGGTGAGGTGCAGGATTGTGCTCAATACGGACTCAATATTGCAGACCTTCCATGCCTGCTGGTTGAGATGTTGGATTTTCTGTCCTGGCTGCCCTGTTACAGCAAACTGTTCTATTTCTACCGTCTATTCTACCTTATCTTGCATATTGCTTGTGATGATGATGATGATGATGACAATGATTATGATTGTGATGACGCGCATAATGCAAGATGAGGTAGAACAGACGTTGCAAATAAAACGGAGTTTCGTAACCGGGTAGGCAGGACGAAAAATCGAACATTATCGGACAGCCAGAACAGAAAACTCAACATTCTTCAAAGCAGGGGTGAAAAGTCCACAATATTGGCCCGTATTGAGCATAATCCTGCACCTCACCTTAATCTAGATCTTAAACTCCTCTGCACCAACATATGTTCGCCGCCTGAAAAGAAAAGAAGGCGAAAAATGAGAAGAAAAACAAAAAAATCTCACCTATCCAGCCTAAATCGAGTGCGACCCAGTGACATACGACGTGCGCGGCGCAATGGCCGTACGCACGTCCGACTCTCGCGATCCTGCAGGCCCCTATACCTAATGCCCGCGTCTCGGCTGGGTGCCTAACGCCATGCACTTCAAAAGAACGAGAAACTTCGAGAGGAATTTTCTATATTTGGGACCTGTCACTACTTCGACTGACTTATAGTCTAGCATTCAGTTATATTCGGCGACATAACTGAATCAGACCTATTGTGCGACCACTAGAGCCCCAATCTACGATGCTGAAATGGGAAGTTTGTTTTTCTTTTGTTAATTGGTGATCTCGTGATAGCAGAGATACCATTGAGGAGGAGAAGGGAGGAGAACAAAAACGAAGGCCTTGGGCATATCTCACGCGAATTTAATCGCCACACCATTTGGCAGCATCTCAGCCATGTGGTACTCGTAAGCGCATCGTGAATGCACAAAATGTAGGGCATTCTATCAACTTACAAAATTATGCGCACTCTGCCATTATAGTGCGGGCGTTTAATCTGAAGAATCTGAAGGCGAGGTATAGTCCGTCTCAGTAGGGAGCGAGTCGAACCGCTGGCGTGAATATGCCCGTCGGGGTTGGAGGGGGGAGGAAGGGGGAGTAAGCACGACGAATTTGCGCTGTATATAGTCGCTTCCTTTCATATGATCATGTGTGTCACTCCAGACACAGTTCACCTTTGGCGTCCCCATCCTGGATTCGTGGGAGAAACAAACCTTCGGGTAAGTGTTTCCAAGGTGTTCTTAGCATTTTCTTTCCTTTTAGTCACTAGTCACCTCAAATTGATGTAATCGATAACAGTCGGTAAGTCTCTTGCGTTTCTGGGATTGCAAATCCAGGATGAGGACGCCAAAGTGGACTATGTGTGCAATGGCACACATGATCATATGAAATGAAGCGACTGTATGCGCACTGTCGAGCGAACAAAAAAATCAAAGAGAGTGCAGACAAGCAGGCTGTAGGCGTGACGCAAAACCCTAGCGACGCGAACTCCCACCACAAGAATGAGCGCGATTTTGTTTTGTGCATCAGGTGAAAATTGTCACAAATTGATGCCGCTTCCTTCGTGTACATTTGTATGAGTTGGAAGTTTTTTCATCAAAAGCGGAATAGTAATCAAGAATGAAAGAGGAGCAAGTAGTAAAAGTTGTGGAAAGAAATGGGGCTGAAATGCCAAATCCAATATCATGAAAACACAAAAAAATTCGCCATTTCCGCAGTCGTGATGATAGTAACAGTCATCTCCGAAGACAGCTGAAAATAGCGAGGATGCAGCGACTGAAGTACAAAAGGAGCGTTTAACAAAATCACAAAGGAGAAGGGGCGCGCAAAGGAAAATAGATAATTTACGCAAGACTTGACATGAAAAAGTTTCATTCGCGAATCCCGCTTCAAGTTCGTAAATCTCTAGATTACAAGAAGAAGCAATGCAATGAGACGAAAATGGGCAAAGTTCGCAGTTAAAACCGTTGAAGAAAGTCAAACATTGCCATTTTGCGCCGCTCAAAACCACATGCATGCGGCTGCAGTTCCAGCACAGTTCCAGCGTGCGAGAACTGTGCTGGAACTGTGCTCCGGAACTCCGGAACTTTGGGATCAGCATAAACCCAGCCATAGCGCCCGTACTCGCCATCCGCGTTGCAGGCACGCTCGCTACGTTCATCCTACAGCGATATGGGCGATTTCGTGAAGCCGACTTTACCTTGTGCTTGTATGACGATCTATCCTAATGCGAATCAAATCAAGGATGGTAGGATTATCAGAAGAGCAAGGACTGAATCAGGAAAAGTGACTTACCAAAGGAAGAGACAACTTTGTTAAGACCAGGTAGACGTGAACCATTCACTGAATGCTACGCTAAACATGTGATGATTCACATCCGGACTCAGTTACTCTTAGAGTTCCAACTGCTTCTGCTCTATATTAGTGCTCTGCTTCCTAGATGAGATGGAGAAGTCCAAACTGCTCCACTATCCAGACGAAACACAGCGTTTTCTGCCGATTTATCAAATCCCATCGCTTTTGACCTAAAATGGTTACAATTACCTAAAACCACATTGTGTGGGTATACGTTGAACGAGACTTGAGAAGGAAAGTAGGGTTCAAGTTATCTCAATGATCACAGCGTTATACAGTAGAGTAAGTCATCGTGATTTTTCTAGGCAGAATATGAGTAATCATAGGCTTCAGATAATTCATTCAGATGATGATGCTGTGGGGAAGACGTACAAAAAAATGACTACAAAAGAAGATTAATGAGTTGCAAAACGCAAAACTACACTGGCTCCCCTAACCTCATTTGAGCACAATTTCTCATTCTTGCCGTAAATTTATAAGATTTTATAGTCTAAGTTCGCTCCGGGAGGCAAGGAAGATTTGTATAACCATAGTAGGGGCAAAGCAAGAAGTAATTGCTAGGCTTGTTCTCTCGATGCCTTGCGGCAACTTTTGCTCAAGAGACATCTCAAAAGTGGTCCGACTGCCCTTTTGTGTCTGGCAAACTCCATTTTGTACCTAGACAAGGAATTTGTTGCATGTCTGCACCACGGTTATTTCCACCTTGTAATTTTTTTTCTAAAAATTCATCTTGCGTCATAGACAGGTTCATTAATTTCTAGGTAACACTCTTGGCAGCGAGGTCATGCTATGATTTACTTCCTATAGACAGTGTTACAGGTGACTATCCCTTTACTCACACTACTCGCGAGAAGTGTTTGATTGACACGAATCAGCAAATGCGGATAAAAGGACCGAATCGCGTGGCTTCTGATACTGTGATGGTCAACAACAGCGCTCACAGTTCAAAGATTGTGCTCTTGCGGTTGTATTTCTTGGTAATTGTTGCAAAAATTATCTATATCTAAGTCTCAAAATTCTCTTGACCTCTCAAAACCTACAATTTTGAACGACCTTACCTCATTTCTACCGCAATGATGTTGTGTAAGCTTGATAAAATTTAATTGTGAAATTTTCAGTGATGAGCATTACCATTCTCAACGAACCCCAGCTTCCCGCCGACGTCTACGACATTCTAATGTCACAAAGAACAACGAATGTGGCTATCACAGACGCTGAACACCATCGTAACGACGTTTATGGAGAGAAAGGAACGGTCCAGAATGAGCAGAATCACATTCTAAACTGTGGTCAACGTTACGGCTTATGGGAACAGAAAGAAGCTAGATGACGGTGATGATGTTCTACGGAATACCACTTCCAGCATGCGAACTGTCTTTCGTCGCTTTTGAAGCTCGTTTCTTAGATCACACAGTCAAGAAATGGTTTTGCTCACACGGTAGAGCCGGCTAATAAACTTGGGTTCATTGTAAAGGTCCTTGCTTAGAGAAATGACTTTGGCTTGTATTAACTAATGGAATCATCTCAATTGTACAATGTGTATTGTAAGTAGGACGTATGAGAAGGAAAAAAATATGAATCAGAAGCTTGCTGGGTACAAATTCTCCTCCCCTTCTCAGCTGTGATCTCTGTGAGGTCTGTGATAACAAAAACCAATATCTCATCTCTACGATTTTTGTAAATTATCGGTATTTGATATTGTTAAGAAGCAATAATAATAAATCTTGTTGGATTCTGCAAGAAACACTGAGGTACCATTGATAGATGCAAAAAAGGACATGCAGCTTAAATGCAAAACAGAATGAACTCAAAATTCTCACCTAGCACAGTAAATAGGGTTCAAACAATAACACTCAAGTTAACAGAATTTTACGTTACTCTTGTATTTTGCTTTTACACTGTCCGATGACTGTCTTCGGTGACGACAATAAATCGCATTGTTTAACATGCATGCCATCGAAGCAGTGACGTAAATTTTGGAAAAAGATTTGATGCGTAAATTGACGGCTCTTGATCGGATAGAAAAAGTTCTTAAGTAGAGGTGATGGGAAGGCGAGGAAAAGTAAAGGTAGAGTTTGGCGTCAATGGACTTGAAATAAACCTCATACACTCCAAGCATGCTCTGATCAAGAACGCATGATGACCATTCTTTATAGTTATTCAATCTTTTGAAATTTGGGATAGACATCTCTAGAATACTGTGGCTAATCCCAGAATGATTTTATTGCACCTCAAAATACTCAACAAAACAGAGTTTTAACAAAGCTGTAACTAAGTGCGGTTTTAGAGGCTGAGCATTCGAATTAGAACTTATTCTCAAAACATTGGAAAATATTAGGTTGTACCGAAAGTTTTGTCGTTTCATTTTTGAAAATTTGTAACTTTGCGCTGTTTCAACGGATTTGCTTGCCTGTAATTTTATTAGAAAGAACAAGTCTTTCTCTTTCAAATGCTGTTTTGCGGAGCTTCTGTTTCACATTGGGTGCGGAGATAAAAATGGAAAACTAAGAGCATGTAAACTTTGACCATTTTAAGTTAGGTCACCAAAAATCTGTAATGCTGCAGAAAAATCTCGTCAGTACATATGTTTTTTGACCTACCCTTTGCATCTGTGAAAAAGTTGTACTGTTTGGACGTCTCTGTGAGAAGTTATGAATAACGAGTTTACTAGGGAAAACGCCAAAATTAATTAATTTGTCAATTTTCGCGCAAATCATAACTTCTCACAGAGACGTCCAAACAGCACAAACTCTTCACAGTTGCAAAGAGCAGGCCAAAAAACATATGTACTAACGATTTCAGATTTTTCTGCAGCATTACAGATTTTTGGTGACCTAACTTAAAATGGTCAAAGTTTACATGCTCTTTTCCATTTTTATCTCCGCACCCAATGTGAAACAGAAGCTCCGCAAAACAGCATTTGAAAGAGAAAGACTTATTCTTTCTAATAAAATTACAGGCGAACAAATCCGTTGAAACAGCGCAAAGTTACAGATTTTCAAAAATGAAACGACAGAACTTTTGGTACAACCTAATACATTGTGTGCGCGATAAGTCTGCAAAACGATATCAATAGTGCTTGACACTTCCAGTCGTCATCTTTTTTCATTGCTCCTGCTAATTTCCCGAGAAAACTGCTGCGACATCAATTTCTAAAACGTCATAACATTCTAAAACGCGTAAGAACACAAGAAAACACACCAGAATCAAACCATCAATCAAATTTGTTGTGCTTGATGACGAAATTACGATATATGTGAACATGCTTAAGACGTCAGAGCACTTCCGAAAAGTGTTTTCCCATATCGCGACTTACTTCAGCAACTTGGACGAGACCAAGATAGGAGATCTTTTCATTCTTTGCGCAGTGCAGTGAAAACGTAGTATCAGCGAGAAACATCTGCACAGACTACACCACTACGTAGTACATACACCATTCGCATACAGGATCTTTAACGACGAGCTCTCTTTTTTGCAGGCATGGGTTTACAAAGCCGCACCGCAATTACCTGGCGCAGCTTGATGATGCCTTGCTTCTTCTTTTTCCCATAGATTCATTTTTCATTGCTTCTTGCCGCGCATATTGTCGCAGAGTTGATAGTGCTGCGGATGTTGCATGTTTACTCATATACTGATGACTAGCTCATCTTTCTGGAGTTTATGCTTGTTAAACAACGGTGTGTTTGTAGTATGGAGTATAGAGTATCCTAGCCTCAGCACAAATGAAATGGCATCAAAACGGACGAGAGGATGTTCGCTGTTTACGTGATAGTTTCACGCAGTACATGTAAAAAGGCTGGGTAAATCAATAAAGTTAATGAGGAAACCTGAAACGGACCAATTTTCGTAAAAGTTAAAAAAAAAAGACGCACAAATTGGGGTATTCCAGTGCTATCTAGCAAACCGGCAAAGCGCCGAAGCCTAGAGTCTTTTTCAACCCAGAGCAGGCAAAACATTCCAAGTGGAGCAGCGCGTACGCTCCGCTCCTGCTCAGCGACATAGATTGGACGAAGAGACCAGACTGCAAAGCGGCGCGAATCGTCGCGAAACGGACTCCCGCCAGTCCGATTTCCGCCTAAACTGAGTTGAAATTTACTATACGCTTCCAAACGTGGCGCAATGCGTGCGCGACGTGGATGGCAGGCAAAGGAGCTCATCATGGGCACAACCGCCTGTGATATGATAACTAATCATGCTTGGCCAAAGTCGTAGGGTCCCACAGCAACTCGCGCCGTAGTCTTGGCGGAAAATGTTTCACACCTTCACACTCCAAATTCATGTAACCTTTGATTCAACTGGCTTGGCTCGGCAAGGCGGCGCTTTGTGACGACGCACCTGTGACGCACCTGCGTCTCTCTCGCGCGAGTGCTCTCTGATCACTAGCTAGTTTTAATTAGATCACGGAGCCCCGCCTTAGCGAAGCCAAGCCAGTTGAATCAAATGGTAAGTTGTTGGAAAAAGCAGGTTTTTGTAGTTTAACGCTTTCAACAGTGGATTTTCGGGTCTAGCATAGCGGATACCTAGGTAGCGAGAAGGCTAGATGTCGAAATTATGTCCGGACGCTGCGTTGGACATACCCTTCAGTTCAATAGGATTGGCGGCTTGTGGGTGGAGCTCACGTCCTTGCGGCCTCCTCGCCTGGCTTGGCACCTCTTTCGCTATTCTCTCTAGCCATTGAAGCTTCACCTTTCCCACGTTCATGATGGGAAAGGAATTAAAGGACGCTCCCGAAAGAGGTGCAGAGCCAAGCAGCCCCGCTTTCCAGCGGACAATCTGTTGAATCAGAGGTTACCACGCGCGATTTCAGCGCCATGCTAATGGCAGTCTCCAGATGTCTCTATATCCGCCACCAGTAGACTTCAAATGCACACGATACATAATTTTTGTAAGTATAAAATGCATCATGTTCTCTACACTCCGAATAGTTTGAGAAAAGTTGTAAATATTATTGACATTGCCAAATCGTGTATAGATTGAACTCGCGCAGTATGCCCATGGCCTTACAGTCTGCCCCATTTGGGTTCAGGCCGGACCTTAGGCGTGGTTGCGCCCTCGCAGCGCTAACGATTTGGGTGCATATGCGCACTGTCGGAGACAGCGAAGAGATTTAAAGAAACAAAAAAGCAGGCCGTGAGCATGACGTAAAACCCAGGCGACGCGGCCGTGCATATTTTGGCCTAATTATCGGGACAGAGTGTATACACGCTGCCGTGTAGTCCTCACTACGCCACTTCGTGTAACTCATATATACTTGTTGCACCTGCACAGACTCAAAATGACACCTTTTTTAACTTTCGGTTCACGAGGTTGCGCCTGAAGTTCTTGAGATTTACAGGCAGGGGCGAAGGCGATCAAGGCATAAGCCTAAACGCGTTCCAGCACAAGCCATACTTATCCACTTCTGCTCCAGAAAAGCGGCATCACCGATTCGTTTGGCTTTAAAGCGGATGAAGTAGTAAGAATGGCGCATGACCCACCGAACCAGAGAGGGAGGTTCAAACTGATGGAAGTTGCCCGCGCACCGTGTTCGCGCCTGCGAAGCTCCACTGTTGACCGCGTTTGTCGGCAATCGCCTCTAAGCTATAGGCCGTCCGCGCTGTGCTCGAAGAGCAACGGCGTTGCGTCCGTTGAAGATAGTACATGACTTGAAGAGGCACAGAGAAAACAAGCGGCGAGAGTGCACGAGGAAAGAGGAGCGACGCGCAGTACGCAACCTGTGCACTCCGCGCCCTGCGCGGAAGGTCTGTAGTAACGACATTTCCAAAATATGATGGTCTGGCTTTATTCGCTTCGGTAAGCGTTTGGGGAAGCTTCGTTCCATGAAATAAACAGAAATTAACTAACTAATAGCGAGAGGTTGTCACCCTTCAGGTCATATATGAGTACTATTTTTCCTTCCACATATTGCTCAGAATTTGGCATCTAGGTCGAATCTCTGTCATAGTGTGACACAGACAACTTTGATAGCAGAACGTCTGCAAAAATTATTCACACGCTGCAAGCAAGTATGCATGTGAGGAATTACTTTAAGCGTGATAATGTTTCTCATAGTCACACACGTCTAGCGATCTATGACGTCTGAACTTCATTGACAGCCCCTACATCTAATTTGCCGTGAAACGTCACTTCACATTCGACCAAGAACCACAAATCGATGTCTCGCTCGCGCTGCGGTTCACCGGTCAGAACATAAAAAAGTGATGACGCCGGAGAAGATTGGTTGTAATTGACGTATGTTCTTTTACTATTTTTTTTTTCGCTAGCCTTCTGAAGGGTGATTCGGATAAACGTAAACACACGCCCCGTTTTGGAATCTACGCATTCCACGGATTGCTGTAATGACTGAAATTCACACGACTCATGATCTTATATAGCATATTCTATGATCTTACATGAAGTGCAAAAGTGACTTGGTTCAGCACGAAGACTGACTACGTCACTTTCAACCCTAATTACAGCAAACCAATTTTTACTAAGGATTTAATCAGATAAGCTTGGGTAAGCCTTCAGGAATGACAAAGTCAAGGTGAGTCCAAAATCTGTGAAAAGCAGTGGCGTACCGAGGGGGGGGGCGGGGGAGGCCCCCCCCGAATGGGTCGCAAAATTTTTGAAAGTTACTTACACGAGTTATAAAAATGTGCAAGAGACTTATTTACACTTGTAAGTAATTAAAATTATTTTTAAAAAATTTTAAAAATTCAATTTAGCTTTATAAAAAAAATTTTTCGGGGGCGTGGCTGAGGCCACGCCCCCTTTTTAGAAAATTTTGGGGTTATGGGCCCGCGAAAATTTTAAGAAGGGCACCAAAAATTTTTTCTAGGTGCGTGGCTAACGCCACGCACCTTCATTGAAAAAATTTTTTTTGTGGCGCCCCCCCCCCCCCCCGAGCCGAAATCCTGGGTACGCCACTGGTGAAAAGGTTAGTTTTCTTTCCTTCCACCAATCATTTAAAATGGTGCGAGTTTCACCATGCTTCAAAAACCTTCAAAAAGCACTGGCTAAATCACGCGACAATGCGTGTCGAGGTTGTCATGCCTCCATACAGCTAGTCATATTCAGGGGTGGGGGAACGAAAGCCGCCAGGTCCAGCCGCCTCCGCGGACTGCTGGTCCTGGAACGACATGCAACAACGCTGCGAAAGGACCAGCTGGCCGCGAAAGGCGGCTGGACCTGGCGGCTTTCGTTCCCCCACCCCATATTCAGTCTTCATTTGTGCATAAGCATTCTATTTATTTTGACGTTTCGGTAAACATATATTCACAATTTTCAAAAACCATCATATATGTCACTCGATTCATTTTATATGATCATGTGTGGCATCGCAAACACTCTCCATCTTTGGCGTCCTCATCCTGGATTTTCAATCGCAAAAACGCAAGAGAATGTTCGATGATTATGCTTATATCACTTTGAGGTGATTAGTACCTAGAAAGAGTAGAAAATATTGAAGACATATCGAGAACACTTACCTGAAGAGTTATCGGCTCCAAGAATTCAGGATGGGAACGCCAAAGGTGGACAGTGTGTGCAATACAAATGATCATATGAAATGTTCGACTATAGTTCGGTATAGCCTGTGTTGGTGACAAAATCTCTTTAGTGCAGTCGTGGATTTCCACACTGCATCAGAGTCCTTGCGCTATCTTTAAGGGCTTAAGTTTGAACAATTCGAACAGACTTTTACGATAATTTTTTCTTTTCATTCCCTCAATTGTATTACCGCTCCAACAGTTAGTCATAGTTCATGACAATGCAGGTGCAGACTGCAGACCGTGCAAATCTAGTGAGTAATTCGCATAACTCCCATGCAGACAAAAAAAGATAACCGATTTGTTTCAGCTCAATTCAGTTTCTGATCGTTTCATGCTGAGTGCTACGCAGTGATACCAGCAGGCAGTTGGCAGCTTGCCAAGGCGCCATTTCGCATCTTTGAACAATTGCGGCGTCTTTCACCATTCGATTGTTAGCAAAGCTGTTTTTTCTTTTTTGCTATTTGCTGTTGTACTTCATCGATTCAGGTCTAAACAGGAGAAGAGGCCAAGTGTTTTACGAAGAAAGTAGCAATAGTGACAGAAAAGAAACGAAATCGAACGGTGAGTTCGAGCACTGCACTTCGCGCATATGAGAGTGTTGATTTTTTTTTTCAATATGGAGGAAAGCATGGAGAGTGATTCTTGCAGTAATGCCAGTGATAGCAATGCGGTCGTAAGCAACGGTTAGCAAATTTGTTAGACACGGACGACCGTCAACCTCGGCAACCGGCCTGTAACCTGTGGCCGTTCCCTTAGGGACCCGTCATACTTCGCCGAAAAAAGCCCCAAAGCGCCTAAGAACGCCCAAAAGCGCCCAAAAAAGCCCAAAAACGCCAGAAAGAGCCGGAACACCCCGGAAATTTGGATAGAATTCTGATATTATTTTGATGTGCAGAAGACAGAAAATAAAACAAAATGACTTGGTTGCGAATCAACACACATGCCTTAGCGGCAAAAATTGCGCGCAAAAGGGGGCGTTCCGGCTCTTTCTGGCGTTTCTAGGCTTTTTTTTAAAGCTTTTTCGGTTTTTGGGCCCTTCTGGGCAATTTTCGACGAAGTATGACGGGACCGGGACTGGAAAGCGCGTAAGGCCTAGGACATACTTCCCGCGATTCCGTCAGATCGCCATGTTCACGCTACTTGTCGACTTACCAGATGTCTACAGATTTACCGTGCAATGGTCGCAACGCATAGGCGCATGGCTTTTGTAGGTCGGCGGCAAGTTATCTCAAGTCTGCTCCACGCAAGGCGCCCTTCAGACCAATTATGGGCAGTCGCTGCGGTGATAAATCGCGCAGCGACGAATGTCGCTTGAAGTATGCTCCAGGCCTTATACGAGGAGGCCACTATGAGAGCCCCTACAACGACCGGCAACTCTGGCAACAGTTGCGGACAACCTAGGCTATCCCTAAGGGAACACAGTAAACCATTGTGCTGGATAATCGTAAACTGGCATCCTGCAGTTCATATATAGCAAGTTTCCACGCTACCAGAATTCCAAAATGACTTGGATCACTTAGTTCGCCACTTCTCTTTGTAAAACAGTTTTTTTCGGCATGAGAAATGAGCGCCACAACATTAAAGATTCTCAGCAAGCTACTAACAATGAGTAAACCCTTATAAACGAGTTTCGAATCGCTTACTGCGAGACAAGAATTGATAAAGGATTTTCTGTCGCATTTTATGTAGTGGGTGAAGTGGTCTCTCAACCGCTCCACTCGTTTGTATATTAGTTTGTGCTTTTCAAACCTTTTTCCAAATAGGTTTGGGTAGTAGTCGTCAGAGTGGACTCAGATCTCGGGTTGATCCGGATGGCATGAACATTATGAATTCAATGCCTTAAACTAGCTGGTAATTTCGAACGGGTCCACCCCATACATCGAGGATAATCCTACTCCACTTATTATTTTGTTCATGCGCAGGTAAAATGGGCGATGTTCACCAAAGTTCTTTTTTCAGTCCTGGTCAAGAGTAACAGATTCCATGATTTATCCAGCATAGCAGCCTCAATGATGAAGCCTCCTTTCCAGAAGTTGCGAAATGCCGTCTAAGCAAGCTGCCACCTCTGCTGATACCAGGCCGGGGGGGGGGGGGCGTAATGGAACAAAGCTATATACGCCGGATTCCCCTGCGGTATATCCTAAGGGCCACTTGCGTTGCATCCCTTTTGATTGCAGCCGCGGGGCATTCTCTATTGCCACGCTGTGAGTGTACAAACTGTATAAATGCAAGGAAGGGATCAAAAATTGAAAAAATAGATGAATTTAGGGTGAATCAAGGCTGGTTATAAATCAAAAGGTGTTCAAGAAGTGCAACGAACGTATTAGTAGAGAAAAGGGACGAAAGTTTTCATCAAAGATTTTCCCTTAAAAAATCGGTTTTTCTCTTATTTCACGTTCGTAGGTTCTATTTCACAGATACTTCTTCCTCTTATTCTGTCTTTGAGCCAGCCTCGAAATCCTTTTATCTTCTACATGATCTCTTTACCTATGAAGAATATGGGAATGGGTCAACTTGCTAGGTGATGCTAGCTCCTCTGCGGCTACAAATAAGCGACGCAACGCAAATGGCCCTCAGGTTATACCGCAAGGAAACGCGGTATAGCTTTGCTCCATAACGCCACGCCGAGCGCGAACCCCCTGTTGTGGTTTTCACATCACCCTTTTTAGCACATAATGGTTTGACTGCTGCTGCTTCTATAGGTGTTTTGCGGCCATTGCTTATGCAGGATGCCAGACGGCCTCAAACCATTTTACCTAGCCCTGTACTTTCCAGAATCGCAAGTAATTGAAGGCTAACTCTTGATGGCGAAAAAGCGTTCGAGAGAAGAAAGAAAACTGAAAAAGCTGAATGCGCGAGCAACGGCTGCAAACCCACCTATCTTCACGATCATGCAGAGCAGTCTAACTTGCCCCGCATAAAAGCTTCCTTTGCTTGACCTTCCTCCAGCTGCTTTGGGCTGCAATCTGCTGGTTCACTTATAAACGCGGTCGCGCCGGCTTCGCTTCCAGGGGCTACATGCCTTCGTTCAATGGTAAACCGTAGCTCGTCTTTGCACAACTACATGGCTTATGAGTTGTACTGTCGGGTGCATCAGTTCACCGCTCGCGCGACCGCCTCGCCTGGACTCTGCGCCTCTTTGCTGAACATGCTCTTTGGTCAATTTCCCACCGCAAGCGTGAGAAAGGCGGAGCCTCTTTCGGTTGCAAATGAAGAGAGCATGTTCGCGGAGGAGGTGCAAAGTATATTTTAAAATAATCGAAATTTTTTTTTTCAAATAATTGAATTGTCGAATATTTTTGAAAATCAAAACGACGAATAATCGAGTATCGAACATTTTCGAAATAGAAAAATTGTGGAATAGTCGAATATCGAGTATTTTCGAATCAGAAAAAATTCGACAATCGACTTTATTCAAAAAAAAATCCGAATAAACGAATACTTTCCATCAACTATGTCGAACATTCAAACAATTTTTGATCGAATTGGCACAATGAAGGACTTGATGACTGGGCGACTTGAACAACAAGCGATATTTGCTGATATAGCAATCAAAATTGACGCTGTCATGTAGTTATTCGATCAATGAAAAAAAAACGAAAATATCGGATAATCGAATAAACATTGAAAGTAGATATTCGAATGTTCGAATATTTTCGAAAATCAAAATTTTCGAATAGCCGAATAATCGTTGAACTTGACACATTTCGAATAAGCAAATATCGAATAAATTTGAGATTTTGAAATTTTCGAATGATCGAATTTCGAATAAAGTTCATTCAAATACTTTATTCGAATACTCGAATAATTATTCGACTCAGGTCAAAGTATAGTGCAGAGTCATGCGCGGGAGCGAAGTTGCTGGTGCACCCGAAAGTGCCATTGATAAACCCTGTATGCCAGTCGTAATGTGAATCCATCTGAAACGAACAAAATAGGCGGATTTGGTACAAAAACGCTAAGGAACCAAAGGAAAGCGTACTTTAAATTTTGAAAAAAAAAGTCGTGTAGTATAGGTCTGGTAGAACCCATACAGAATTGGCGATTTAGCCTAAAAACATATCGGCTGTCAGTGGACCTTTGGTTTTGGCTGGAAGAGAGACCGCTACATTCATTATCTCAACAACGGTCAAACGTACATTACCTCAGACTATTTTTTTTACATATGCCCGCAAAGCCATTTTTATCACATATGCCCGCATCACTCGCCTATGCTACAATCATATCCCGTAGTGAAGAAACCTACCGGATAAAAATTCTCGACATATGATGTCATTCACCAATTCGAAGAAGATAGAGCCGTAATTATGAACAGTTTTTGTCAATAAGCACAGTTTTTAATGGCTCCATGGTTCCTTCTAAGCTTAAATGATGTGCTTGAAGGCAGTGGATCGGCAGAATGGATCTTTCTCTGATTTTGGGGGATTTAGGTAGTAAACCCCCCAAACACACTATAGCCCAAACTCCACCTGCCAATTCATGCGCTAATTCCTGAAAAATGCGCTTCAAACTCCACCAGGCCCACTCAACGGAAATGGGAGGTTTTGAAGCTCCTTTGCATAAATTACCAGGTGGGGTTAGGACTACCGTGTACTTGGAAGGTCTACTACCCAAATCCACCAAAATTTAAGAAGAGTCCATTCTGCTGATCCACTGCCTTTGAATCGTCTCTACAAACCAGTATATCTGCAGTCACCGGCAAAAGCGTTACATACTCTCATAGGAGCAAGGAATTTTTTTTAGAAGAAATTTCTGCTGTTAAGGAGCTCAAATCTGTCAAAGCAACTACTTGTTTACTGAGAGCCGGGGTTCTTTTCTTTATATTGATAAAATCAACTGAGTCAGTTATGCTTCGGCTCTGATCTTTCTGCTTCTTACTTTGAAAGTTTGAGATCCTGATTCGGGTAGTTTTTCGACCAAACAAGACATGGAGCAAAAAAGGTTGCCGCGAAATCTTTTGATTGCGCAGTATTTAGCGAACTGATGTTGCATGCTCAGTATGTATATCTACTCGACGAAATAGTCATCCGAGCTAGAGAGTTGACTTTGTTCAAAAAAGAACATGATCTACGATGCTAAAATGTGCCGAAAAGGCATGCGTAAGATAGAAGAACTTTCATGCACTACTGACTTGAAGACGCCTGTAACCTTGTAAGCAGCTGTTACGTTACCTTTGTTGCGTAACCTGATCCATCTGAAAAGGGAAGCATGTTCAGTCGAAGTAGATAAGCTTTTTAGATGGGATGTAGAAGAGCATAAAACGGCGACTCTCTGCTCTACCTGCAGAACGTTTGTGAACGAAGCGTTAACTGAAGCCAAAGATTAAACGTGCATTTAGGGTAAAATGAGTTGCCGAAAACTCACTAGCCCTCAAATAAAGCAACCAAGGTGGTTTGTTTTTATTTTAAAGTATTTTTTGTATAAAGTGCTCTGATGATCATCACTGCTCCATTAAAGCGCTAGAAAAGTATTACAAGTACTTTTGTCCTACTTGCATATTCAATTTTTTTGGTCCAATAAAAGCTTTTTATTTGTGTCCATGAACTTCCGCAGATTAGGAA